ATTGGGACGGTTTGCTAATTTGTTTTTGTGTACTTTAATTTACAGTTATAAACACAGGTAAAAATCCAACAACAACAAAAAAAGGAGTTAAAACAAAAAATAAAAGAAATACGAACTAAAAGACCAGGAATGGAAGCAGGGAGTTGGGGGTCATTATGATCAATGTATACATGTATGAAACTGTCAAAGAATGGGGGCTAGAGAGATAGCTCAGCAATTAAGAGCACTGGCTGCTCTTGCAGAGGACCTGAGTTCAATTCCCAGCACCGACATAGCAGCTAACAACTGTTCGTAACTCAAGTTCTAGGGGAATCCAACATCCTCTTCTGACCTCCATGGGCACTGCATGACACAGGCACACTTACCCACATACAGGTATACACTCATATACATAAAATAAAATAAAAAAAAATTTTTTTAATTATCAAAGAATATTAGATTTTAAAAATGGATTATCCTATCCATAATTTGCTTATTCAAGTTCAACAAAAATTACTTAAAATACGTTTACATTTTTTAAAAAAGACAAGTTAGTCAAAAACTATAAATTTTTTTCTAGGAAAACCAAAATAGACATATCACTTTTAGTCTGTAATCCCAGCACTCCGGAGGCTAAGGCAGGAAGATTACGGGGTATGTAAGACCAGCTTGGGCTACAAAGTGGATTCCAGGCCAGCCTGGCCTACATAGTAAGTCCCTGCTTCAAAACAAAGCAAACAAAGACAAACATCACTTTTACTACTTTAAGAGATTGTTGAGGGTTTTTTTAAGACAGGAAAAGAAAGGCTGTGTTTTACTACAATGAATCAAAAACAGTGGAAAAGTCTAATTTGAAATATTTTAAGGGCAGTGACACTGAGGAAATACAAAACATATGGCCAAGTGGGTTGTATGCCATCTATAGAACTGTCATAAAACACCAGAGCTGGGCTAGTGAGCTAGCTCAGCAGGCAACGGTGACAACAGAGCTCAATCTACATGGTGGAGGGGAAAAACCAACTCCTGCAAGCTGTCCTCTGATCTCTAAATATTCATGGTGGCACATGTCTCCCTGCCCCAACAAAAGACATAAATAAACTTAATTTTTAGACTGTCAGAGTCAGCTTTGCCAAAGTATAAAGTATGAAGGAGTAGTCTCAGAAGATTCTGTCATAACTAAGGGTAAGAGAGAAAGTGTCTTCTGAAGAGAAACTGAAAACAGAAGATTGAGCTCCAGGATTCACAGATCCATCCTGTTCTCCACAAGATGATGCAGACTCTTCAGATTCCACATAATCAACGTTTTCATCCTCCTCACTTCCCCATTCACGTGAATGGCACCACTACCCACCAAAATATCCCAGTCAGAAGTGAGAAGCCCTCTAATCTCTTCCCTCATCTCCCTATTACACACCGACTAGTGATTAAGTTTTATTTTATTTTTTGAGACAAGGTTTCACTATGTAGCCCTGGCTGGCCTGGAACTCTCTAGGTAGACCAGGCTGGCCTCGGAACTCACAGATATCTGCCTGCCTCTGCCTCTGCTGGGATTAAGGAATGAAAGGCGTGTGCCACCACTCCCAGACTTTATTATTTTTATTTTATGTGTATGAACGTACTGCCTGCATGTATATAAGTGCACCTGTGTCATGCAATACCCAAGGAGGTCAGAAGAGGGAATAGGATCCCCTGGAACTGGAGTTATACAAGGTTGTTAGCTGTCATGTGGGTGCAGGGAATCAAACCCAGGTCCTCTGCAAGAGCAGTCAGTGCTCTTAACTGTTGAACCATCTCTCCAGTCCAATATTTTATTTATTATTTTTATTTTATGTGTATGAGGTCTAGTATACTGCCTGCATGTGTATAAGTGCACCCAGGGAGGTCAGAAGAGGGCATCAGATTCCCCTGAAACTGGAGTTATGGATGGTTGTTAGCTGCCATGTGGGTGCTGAGAATTGAACCCAGGTCTTCTGCAAGAGTAGCCAGTGCTCTTAACTGCTGATCCATCTCTCCAGCCCCTGTGATGAAGTTCTTAAAGCATCAATCTTTCATTTTAAAGCACCAATCCTTTTGTTTTCCCCTTTCTTTTTTTTCTTTCTCTTTTTGAGACAAGATCTCCCAGTAGTTCCAGTTACCCTGGAACTTGCTATGGAGACCAGGCTGGCCTTGACCTCACAGAGATCCACCTGTCTTTGCCTCCTTGAGTGCTGGGATTAAAGGAGTGCACCACCATGCCTGGCTGTTTTCCCCCTTTCTATTCCCAGTGGTAAGTCTGTTTAGATCTTTAACATTTTTCACCAGACTATTATTGTAATAGCTTCCTAATACGTCTCTCTGATTCTAATCTTTCCTTACATTACTTTATCTCACACCCCACCCCCTTCCAAAAAGGCTCCTTAAAGATACTGGACTGGATAGATGGCTCAGTAGTTAACAGCACTGGTAGCTCTTGCAGAGGACCTGGGTTCAGTTCCCACCACCCACATGGCAGCTAACAACCACCCTTAACTCCAGTCCCAGGAGATCTGATGCCCTCTTCTGGTCTTTGTGGGCACTGCACACATAGTACATGTACATACATTCAGGCAAAGCACTCATACACATAAAAATAAATTTAAAAAAAGATTATTTTTTTAAAAAAGTGTTCTAATGCATAAATAGTGGACATGTCAATTTACATCTTAAAGTTCCTCAGCATAAAATCCTTCATCTACCCTTGCTACATTCCTCTTCCTAGTCTAGTTCTGCATCAGTTACCTTTCTTATCACTGTGACCAAATACATGACAGAAGCAACTTAAGGGAAGGGGCTTATTTTGAGTCACAGTTTTAGAGTGAACAGTTCAACCATAATGAGGAAAGCACAGAAGATTCGTGTTGGCTCATGCCTATAGTCATGAGAGCTTGAGGTTGCCACTTCTCACATGATGATGTGACCAGGAAGCAGAAAGATCAGAACTGATAGGGCCAGGCTTAAACCCCCAGAGGCCCACACCCAGTGACATACCAGCCAGACCCTACTTCCTCAAGGTTTCACAACCTCCCCAAACAGCATCACCAACCAGGCAACAAGTGTTGAAATAATTGAGCCCATGGGGAACATTTCAGATCCAAGTCAAAATAGTGTTCCATCTGATCAGAACTGCTTGCAATTTCTTCAACATATTTTATTTGACATGCTATTGTTTCTGCCTGGGGAAAGTTGGTGTGTGTGTGTGTGTGTGTGTGTGTGTGTGTGTGTGTATGAATGAACCATCCTGCAAAGCTCAATTACACACTTAATTTTAATTGTTTATACACTACTGTCTTCATGCCTCAGCTGTAAACAACTTACAAATAAGGAGTGTTTTTCATCATCTAGCAATTAGTGGGGCAGTTTGATGAATGTACATTTAGGAGTCCAAAAAATGCATCCTGCCATAAGTCTGTCAGCTCAGTGGTAGTTACTGGGTTGCACAAGAGAATAAGAACAGAGTTGGCTCGAACAAACAATAAAAAAAAATTTATAGTTTGGTTTGGAGGAAGAAAGAAGATTCTGGGCTGGGATATAGCTCAGTATAGTGCAAGTACCTACTGTGTGTGCAGCCCTAGGTTTGATCCTCAGCACTGCAAGAAAGGAACAAAAAAATGAAAAAAGGAAGCGCAGAAGATGGAGGCAAGAGGGAGAGAGGCAGAGGGAGGGGGGGAGAAGAAAAAGGGGGGGGAGGGAGAGGGAGATTAGGAATGTAGCTCAGCAGTACAGAGCTTGCCTAAAATGCACAAGGCCCTGGATTCAATTCCCAACACTATAAAAACCAACAAAGTCAATATAATCTTAGTTTAACAAAAAAAAAAGAAGAGGGGCTGGGGAGATGGTTCAATCAGCAAAGTGCTTTCCATGTAAGTATGAGGACCTGAGTTGAGATTCCTATCATCCATGTAAAGTCAGGCAGCATGGCAGTGCACAACTACAAGCCCAAGGAGGCAGAAACAAGAGGATCCTGGGGGCTTGCCAGCAGCCAGTCCAAACAATCAGTAAGCTCCATGCTGAGGGGAGAGCCTCTGTCTTAAAAAATAAGGTAGAGCTGGGAGCATGGTACCACACGCCTCTTCTCCTAGCACTTGGGGGACAGAAGCAGGCAGATTTCTGTGAGATTGAGTCTATAGAGTGAGTTCCAGGTCAGCTGGGGCTACAGGGAGACCATGTCTCAAAAACAAAACACAAAACAAAGCAAGTATGGTGGAAAGCAACTGAGGAAAATATCCAACTTTGACCTCTGGCTTCCACATGCATGCATACTTACATGTAAACACACAAACATACTACAAATACACAAAAAAGAGACTCAAAACAACACAAAAAAGGAAAACAAGAGCATAGCCAGAGTAAGAAATAACATAATGCAAACACCTGTAAACAGAAGGGCAAGTGTAGTTTTTAAAGAAAATGTGGACAGTATGTGCTGCACAGCTTTTCGTTTTCAATAACTCAAAAACCTGTTAGAAATGGATAAAGGGCTGAGAATACAATTATTATCAGGAAAAACAAAAACATAATAAAGGTCGACCACGGACTAGAAGAAGTTTTCAAAACCTCTGCATTAAGAGGCAGGCACACCTCTTGAGTTTGAAGCCAGCCTGGTTGACGTAGAAAGTTCCAGGTCAACCAGGGCTAGATAGATTAGATAGATAATAGATAGATGATAGATAGATAGATAGATAGATAGATAGATAGATAGATAGATAGATAGATGATAGATAGATAGATAGATGATAGATAGATAGACAGATAGACAGACAGACAGACAGACAGATAGATAAATTAAAAAAAACATGTCTCAAGCAAACAAACATGTCTTGCATAAAAATAAAGGAAAACTAAAGTGTTGTTTCATCTCAATGCCAGTATATGTGACTAAAGAATACACCACAGCATGTAATCGTACAAGGAGTCAGCTTCTCCACACACTGCAGGAATGGTTGCTGTGAGGGAAGCTATGTGTTCTAGTATGCATGGTAGACTGAAGAAAGGAATGAACTCACTGTCCATGAGGGTACCAGCGGTGCTTTGTGGTGAAGAACATTTTGCTCAGCTGTTCTATCATGGGTCCTTGCTCAAGGCGTTCACTTTTTTCTTCTAATCTGGTCTTCAGCACTTGATCATGTGTTTCTTCATTATTATGCCAAGGATCTGGTCGAGGGATAGGCTACAAAATAATCAGTAATAAACAGTAAAATACAGAAATGTTAGAATGGATAGTGCTGGTTTTATGGTAAAACAAGGACCATACTCAGTAATCCACTGCACTAACATTGGTAAGTTACCTGAACAGTTTCAGTTAGCTATGTTTTTTCAAAAAGAAACATTCTTCTAACCACAAAAAATTGGGGGTTTCTTTTCTAATAATAAAATTCTTATTCTATGTTATTTTTCTTCAGTAATAAGGTATTTGTTACTTTAATTTCTGTTTCTCCAAAGTATAAATTAGGGTCCAATATTATTTTTAACTTACAGGTTTACAGTTTACCTAATGTTATTGAAAGAACAATGAAAAATGAAAGGCCTCATATTGAAAAATGGCATTTCGAGCTGGGCATGACAGTACATGCCTTTAATCTCAGCACTCAGGACTCAGAACAGAGAGGCAGGCGGATCTCTCTCAGTTAAAGACCAGCCAGGGATACATAGTGAGACCCCATCTCAGAAGGAGGGAGGGAGGGAGGGAGGGAGGGAGGAAAGAAAGCAAGCGAGCAAGATGGCATTTCTAAGCCAGGCATAATGGTGCGTGCCTGTTATCCCAGCACCTGGGACATAGAAACAGGAAGATCAAAAGTTTAAGGTCATCCTTAGGTATATAGTGAGTATGAGGCCAGTCTGGGCTAAATAAGACCCTGTCTCAAGACAAAAAGAAACAGATGATGATCTGATTTTACAATCAAACATAAAACATTTAAACATAAATATCTTTATAATTAGACACACTAATGATAACTACTATATTCTATCACTGTATTAAATATTATGACATGTATTTCTATCTACCTTATGTTCACGAATGATTTCTTTAAAGGGCAATGCATATATAAACACATGGAGATGACACATTGGATAGGTGCTTCAGAAATACAAAGCAAAGAAGACAGCAATGAGAAGTGGAAAGAGAGTCCGGTTTGAGCCTTGTTACAGAGCATTCCAGAAGAGAGAAACAGGTAATGCAACTCAAGCAGGGACACATAAAAAAGAGGAAATTTGAAAAAAATGAATCTTGAGAAACGAGATGATGAACAGTTTTTAAAGTCAGGCTAACAAACTACTTATTAGTGGTTTCCTGAGCACAGGAAAGAACAAGTAGGAATTAGAAAGAAAAGGTTAAGAACAAGTCCAGCCCCTCAGTAGTGCTATGGCCTTGAGCAAGTGAAACTCCTATTTTCCCTTTCTGCAAAGTCAGGGAGAATATCTACTATATTCTACCACTGTATTAAATATCATGGTATGTATTTCTATCTACCTTATGTTCATGAACGATCTCTCTAAAGGGCAATGCATATATAAACACTGGGAACTGGCATTATGGATAGCTGTTAGCCACCATGTGGGTGCTGAGAGCCAAATTCAGGTCCTCTGCAAAAGCTGCCAGTACTCTTAACCACTGAGCCATCTTTCCAGACCCTCAAATTTTGGTTTTTTAAATTTTCCATTAAAATCAACCACTAAAAAGATGTGCTATAAGATTAAAATATGATATACATATGAAAATGCCACAATGAAACGCATTACTTTGTGCTAATTTTAAGAATTAAAAAAAAAAAAAAACATTGAGACTGGAGCGATGGCTCAGTAGTTAAGAGTACTGGTGCTCTTGCAGAGGACACAGGCTTGGTTCCTAACACCCACATGGAGACTAACAAAGATCTGTAACTCCAGTTCCAGGAGGTCCAACACCCTCTTCTGGATTGCAAGTTTGCACACACATGGTACATTTACACACATGCAGGCAGAACACTCATACACATAAAATAAAAATAAAAATTTTTTTTTTTTGAGACTGGGTCTCCCTGTAGTTAGGGCTGGCCTGGAACTCACTATATAGACCAGGCTGCCCTTGATCCCTCAGATCTCTCAGAGATCCACTTGCCTCTGCTGGGATTAAAGGCGTGTGCCACACACCCAACATAAATAATTTTTTTTTAATTATAAGTACCAATAAAGTGGTTCAGCAGGGAGGAGGAGTACATGCCACAGAAGCCTGGCACCCCAAGTTCAATTCCTGGAACCCATACTGGAAGGAAAGAACTGACCCCTGAAAGTTATCCTCTGATCTTATCATGTGCCACATACACACACACACACACACACACACACACACTAAACTTTTAAAAATTATAAGAAAAAAAGGAAGTGCATGCAGTTTTAAATACATGTTGCGTGTGTGCACGCGTGTGTGTGCACACTACTGTGTACATGTGGAGATCAGAGGACAACTTGTAGGAGTCAGCTTTCTCCTTCCACCATGTGGATTCTGGGCATCAATCTCAGTTGGTCAGACTTGGCAGCAAGTGCCTTTACCCGCTGAGCCATCTCCCCAGCCCTAAATGTACTTTATTCACATTTACATTTTCTTTTCCTTTTTATTTATTAACACTTTGTTTTTCTAAGTCATTTATTTCCTAGTATGATGCTTTTACCTTTATTTTTCCAAAAGTAAAATCCTAAATTATAGGAGAGTATTTTTAGATTAGTACTTTATAAAATACATATATCATGCAGAATCTTTTTACTTGTTTCTATGAAAAATAATCATACTTTAGATATAGTGATGTTGGAGAATGTGAGAGTAAGCCTAAGATCTTCAAGGAAGGATACAGAAAAGGAGAAATGACCCAAATAAATGTAATAAAATAGAAATAAAGATTATCAGAATCAACAGTATGAAAGTTATAAAATAGTACTCTAAAATACAAGTTATTCATAATATATAGGAGATATATTTTATGATTTTATTGTAAGTGTAATTCAACCCAAACTTTCACACATGCTAGATAAGCATTCTACCATTGACCTATATTCCCAACTCTTAAAAAAAAAAAAAAAAAAAAAGCTTTAGACAAGGTTTCACTAAGTTGGCTTCAGGCTCCCAGGTAGTGGGGATTATAAATCTCTCCCATCAGTGATAGGGGTTTTTCCAAATTTTTTAGAGAAAAAAAAAAAAAAAAAAAAAAAAGTCATAATCACATTTAAATAGTTCCCTTTATATACTGAGAAATATTTAAGGAAAGAAGATGAAAAGTAAGGGAAAAATCAAAACAGTAAAATAAAAATGGCAAAAGAAGTCATAAACCAAAGAAAGGAAAAACTTGCCATACATACTTTCGTGTGTTCATATGGAATATCCACAGAAGGGTGGTAGCACACTACTGTCCTGCCATCAGATGTCAAAGCGAGCTCTACTTTGCTGAAAAAGAATGTTTTGGAGATACAATTACACTGTATTCAAAAACTCTTCGGTTTGGGTTGTTTTTTTGACAGCACCTCGCTCTGTAGCCCAGGTAAGACATGGAACTCACTATGTAGCTAGCCCACACTGGCCTCAAATACATGGCTACATGGCGACCCTCCTGACTCTGCCTCACGAGTGCTGGGGTAACAAACATGTACCCTCTCACCTAGCAGAATGAGTTTCGTGTTTTTGAGTCAGGGTCTCACGTATCCCAGGCTGGTTTTGAACTTGCTATGTAGCTGAGGGTGACCTTGAAATCTTGATCCTTCTGATTCTGCCTCTTAGTGCTGAGACTGCAGGTATGCCCAGTGAAAATTATTACAATTACTGAGAAGATTAATTAGAAATCAACCACAATCCACACCAAAAGCTAGGCCTCTGGCCACTACGGAAGGGCAGCAAGGGTAAGAAAGCCATGCCAACCTGGCACTAGTGCAAGCTCATTTTGAGAAAGGCAAACACAGAACTGAGGCCTTGCACTCTGCTTACACTTGCCAGTATGGCAGAGGGGCTCGCGTCAAAGCGAGTCTCAGGAGCAAGTGTAGCCCTGAGGGTTCTACTACTGCCTACAACAACAGGGGACGAGTCAAATACTTCAGGGTTGATTTTAATGAAGGCACAGATGATGACAACACATCTTCCACAGAAGTCCAGCCCAATTTAGAAGTATCAGAGGGCTGATATTCGATAGGCTAGGGTATTCTGACGAAGCTTTACAACATTTCAAAAACAATAGACTAGAATCCTAGATTTCAAGATGCTACTTTAAGTGCAAGACTATTCTTGACAAAGAAGAAAAAGAAAAAATACTAAAGTTTTTAACTTAACTGAAACATTAAGTAAGGATCCTTACACTGAATCGGTCTCTAATTTGAAATAATTATTGAACTATTTTAATTTATACTTAGGATAAAAGAACTGGAAGTTCAAAAATGTATCTATTGGGGCTGGCCACATGGCTCAGCAGGTAAAGGGGCTTGCCGCCAAAAATAATACCTGAGTTTGATCTCTGGAACCCATATGGTAGAAAGAGAATTGTCCTCTGACCTCCATGTGTGTGCCATGACATACTTGTATGCACATGTACACACACAAAGTAGAAAAATAAATGTAATTAAGTGTATCTATTTAAAGTTATAATTCCACAATGAGAAATTATATTGAATACATTTGCATGTTATTATAGTAAAAAATTTTTTTTCTTAGTATTTTATTATTTTTTTTTATTTTATGTGTATGAGTGTATTGCCTGAATGTATGTGAGTACGTCTGTGTCATGCAATGTTGCAGAGGTCAGAAGAGGGCTTCTGATTCCCCTGGAACTGGAATTAAGGACGGTTTGTAGCCGCCATGTGGGTGCTGGGAATCGAACCCAGGTCCTCTGCAAGACCAGTCAGTTCTCTTAACCACTGAGCCATCTCTCCAGCCCTATAGTAAAATATTTAAATTAAAAAGGTAAAATTAATTAATCACAAATTGCTAAAGAGAAGACACTCTATTACTGGACTAGAAAATCTGGTATCCATAACATAAGGGACAATTCAAGACCACAACACAGAATGTCAGTTTAACTTCCATGAGTTAAACTATAAATTGTATTTTATCAAAAAATACAGCATTGTTTCACTATGATTTTATGACTGAATTCCACACATATCTGTAATAACATTTCAATTATCAAATGACTAACTCACTAGTAGCCCAGGCTGACCTTGAACTCATGATCCTCCTGCTTTAATTTTCATAGTGCTGGGATTACAGGCATGTATCACAACTGGCTCTATAATTTTTAAAAAATATTTATTATTTTATGTATATGAGTGTATTGCTTGCATGTATGTGAGTGAACCCATGTCATGCAATGCCATGGAGGACAGAAGAGGGGTTCGGATTCCCCTGGAACTGGAGTTAGGCATGGTTTGTAGCCACCATGTGGGTGCTGGGAATTGAACCCCAGCCCTCTGCAAGAGCAGTCAGTGCTCTTAACCCTGAGCCATCTCTCCAACCCTGCTCTATAAAATTTTTAAAAATATTCATTATTTCTATTTTATGTGTATGAGTGCATGTAGGTACATAAAATGCACCCATGTCACGCAACGCCCATGGAGGTCAGAAAAGGGTGTCTGATCCTCTGAAACTGAAACTGTGGATGGTTGTTAGCTGCCATATAAGTGCCAGGAATTGAACCCAGGTCCTCTCCAAGAAGAGCCAGTGCTCTTAACTGCTGGGTCATCTCTCCATCCCAGGTCTATGAAGTTTTGCATAATGTAAAACACTGATATAACTCAACCTATTCAGGTTCAAAAAAATGTAACCTAATCTAATTTCATCATTAACTAACCTTTTGTTTAAGATTATTTTTCTTTTATCTGTATGAGTATTTTGCCTGCATTTACGTAAGTGCATCATGTGCAGCATGCAGTGCCCAAGGAGGCCAGAAGAGGTCATAAGATTCTCTGTAAACTAGAATTACACAGGGCTGTGAACAGCAGTATGGGTACTGGGAACTGAAACTGGATCCTCTACAAGAGCAGCAAGTGCTCTGAACTGCTGAGTCATCTCTCTGACCCCACTAACTGCTTATCATAATACTCATAAATGTACAATTAAAATTAGCATAAAAAAAGAAAGTATTAAAAAAATCCTAAGTATAAAAAAATCCCATGCAAGGAGGCACATGCCTATTATCTCAGTACTGGGAAGGAGAATCAGGAGTTCAAGGTCAGCCTCAGCTACATAGTGAATCTGAACCTGGCCTGGGCTTCTCTCTCTCCCCTCTGGGTTTCTCTCTCTCTCTCTCTCTCTCTCTCTCTTTCTCTCTCTCTCTCTCTCCTTTCTCTCTCTCTCTCTCCTTCCTTTCTTCTTTCTTTCTTATTAAAATCTGCAATAAAACCCACATAGCTTGAGAAAACATGTTGCAGTTTCTGCACATCAAATCTGCTGAAGAGAAAAGCAAAAATGTCATCTGCTATTCTTAGTTCTTAGCATCATAACTAAATTGAATAAACACCAAATAAATGGTGCTGAATTCAATAGTGTAATTTAAGATTATTCAATGTCAAACAAAAGGCAAATAAGTACTTAGACTAACAGATATAAACCCTAACACAAACTATAAAAACTAATTAACTTTCACAAAAAGTTAAAGCTTGCTTCAAAAAGAAAAGATAGCATTTCTAACAGCAAGTCCATTTATAACAAAATTACATATTCACTGAAATACAATAATGGGTTTTATTTAAAATGTTTATAATCCCAGATACTATGTAAATAGGAAATTATTTTTAAAAACAAAATTAAAGAAAGAATAATCGGAAAAGCAAGCATAAAATAAAATTATTTCAGATACAGCTAAGACTGATATTCTCAACTGAATTTTAATACGTACCAGTTATAATCATCTGGAAGAGAAGAATGCGTAGATTTACGACAAATGCAAGACAAAGTTCCATCTGCAAAACCCCAAATAGCAAAATAGACTTGTTAATCTGAGCATATACTCTCACATAAGCTTAAAGATAGTTTTTACTCATCAACCAGTATTTACTGTTTGCTATAAAACAGGTTTGTACTGGTGGCCAGGACTCAACAAAAGACCAAGCCCCTGCCCCTTCACATGAGTAATGAGTCTGGGCTGCTGGGGAGAGGGGTAGACAAGAAGATTCCAATACACAGGGTGTGTGCTATCAGGCTGGGTAAGCACTGGGAGAAAGGTGCACAGATGGGCTATGTGCACGTTCAAGAAGGCCTTTCTGGGGAAGGTGATGTCTCAAGTACCCTCAAGGATGAGGGGAGAAGAGCTGGTAAAGGGTGAACACAATGCTCCTTATAGAAGAAGTAGTAGAGCAGACCAGAGGTTTCAAAAGAGTAAAGAATCTGGTATTACAACCTTTCCAAGAAAGAGAAGAAAGAATTCGGGCATTCCAAGGTGCATAATTTACAGAGGCCAGAAGAGGGTTAAGTGATGAAATATAAGTAATTTGTTCAAAATTAACTTCTCTTAAAATGTTCCTATTTCAAAACAGTTTCTTCTGTTTTAGTATTACAAATATATAAGCTATGGTAATTTTTTTTAATTTATAAAGTCTTTCAATGTTCAAATAAAAGATTTCTTTAGATACAAAGAAATAATTCAGATGTGGCTCAGTGTGGTTCAAATAAAGTCCAAACACATCTCCTGCTCCTCATGTGGGGCCTGACTTGACCTGACCTTCCCATCTCCACACTGCCACATCTCAACATAGAGCACCATTTACACTGTGTTCAAATGCCACTAGGCAGTCTGCAAAGTCACGTGTATTCTATGAAGTCCGTCTTTAGCCTCCCTGTCCTCTAAGCGCTACCAAGGGGGATGAGCCATCTACTTTACCTGTCCCATGATCAGTGCTCACACACATTACTCATTCCTTCTTTGTAGTCCTTTCTCCCCTCCCCCCAAAAACCAGGTATTATAAGATCAAATGACTTAATAGGCCTTAAAAAAACAAAACATAAAACTTGCCAGGCATGGTGGCGCACACCTGTAGTCCCAGCACTTCGGAGGCAGAGGCAGGCAGATCTCTGTGAGTTCAAGGCCAGCCTGGTCTACACAGTGAGTTCCAGGCCAGCTGGGGTTACAGGGAGACCCTGTTTCAAAAAGACCAAAACCAAAAAAAAAAAAAAAAAACATAAAACTCTATATTCCCATGTTGACTTTGTATTGGGGGGGAAATATTTCATGTTCCCTCTGGAATACAGGGAGGCCTTTTCTTGTAGCTTCTTGTACTTTTCCCTTAATCATAGGTTTTTTGCTCTGCTTTCAATCTTAATGTCCTTCCTTTTTACATAAAATATCAGTAATATTTTTCTTCAGTAGTAGAAGCTATGGAGATAAGGGACTTCCAGATATAAAAAGCTATTCACTGGGGCTGGAGAGATGACTCAGTGGTTAAGAACACTGGTTGTTCTTGCAGAAGACCCAGGTTCAAATCCCAGCACCCACATGGCAGCTAACAACTGTCCGTAACTCCAATCCCAGGGGATCTGACAGCCTCTTCTGACCTCTGCGGGCACTGCATGACACAGGTGCACTTACCTACATGCAAGCAATGCATGCATACATATAAAAAAAAATAAATAAATAAAAAGAACCAAAAAAAGCTAGTCACAGAGTGTCAGAATGACTGAGTGAATGGAATGATTTAAATTAGCTCTTTGTTAACTGGCTATTCTAACAATTCCAGTCTATTTCCATCAGCTTAATAAACATTCAAAATTTGCCTGACATGCATAAGAGGGACTAAGGATACCAAATTTGTACTAGGGACACAGTATAAATCTAGTGAGGAAAGAAGCATGTTCAGTTACAAAAGACAAAGTAGTTTTCAAACGTTGACTAAGGTATCAACTATGTAAAAAGTAGATCTGACTTCTTATCACCTTGGAGCCAAGTTTCTCTTGGGGTAAATGGAAAGCTAGGTAGTATTTTTACCAATTCTTAACAATAAAAATGCTTCTAGAAGGTTCCTCAAAAAACTTAAAACAGGACCAGCAAGATCACTCAGTCCTTGCCGCCAAGCTTGACAATGTGAGTTCCATCAAGGAGGAACCACATGGCATAAGGAAAAAACTGATTCCTGCAAGTTGTCCTGACCTCCACGTATGTACTGTGGCACATGTGTATACACACACACACACACACACACACACACCCAAAACAGAGATTTAAATTTAAACTTAAATATGAAAATAAATTTTAAAAACTAAAGAGGTTAGAGATGACTCAGCAGTTAAGATCACTGGCTGCTCTTGCAAAAGACCCAGATTTGGTTCCTAGCACCCACATGGTGGCTAACAACCATCTATAACTCCAGTTCTAGGGGATCCAATGCCCTCTTTTGGCCTCCGCAGGCACTGCATGACATGGTTACATGGTTGTACTACATACCTGTAGGCAAACTCATACACATAAAAATAAATAAATACAAACAAATAAGGGCTGGAGAAATGGCTCAGTGGTTAAGAGCACATACTGCTCTTTCAAAGGACCTGAGTTTGATTCTCAGCACTCACGTCAGGATCACAGCAGCCTATAACTCTGGCACTGCACTCATATTCACAAACCCACACAGACACACACATACATACATAATTAAAATACAGTAATCATAAAATAAAATTAAAGTATCTTAAAAGGGCTAGAGAGATGGCTCATCAGCCAAGAGCACTGGCTGCTCTTACAAGGACCAGGGTTCTGTTCTCAGCACCCACATGGCAGCTAACAACCATCTGTAACTCCAGTTGCAGGGAATCTGACACCCTCTTCTGACCTCTACAGGCACTGTACAACATGGGTGCATTTACATACATGCAGGCAATATCCTCATATACATACACATAAAATAAAACTAATAGAAAATATTCCAAAAAAAAAAAAAAAGGTAGGCTGGAAAGATGGCTCAGCAGAGGACCTGGTTCCCAGCACCCACATGGCAGCTAACAACCATCTGTAACTCCAGTTCCAGGGGCTGTCCCCGCCTTCTTTTGGCCTCCACAGGCATTATACAAGTGTACTTACATACTGCAGGCAAAATGCTTATACAAATTAAATAGAAATAAATAGGGGGGTGGTTCATGGGTTAAGAGCACTTGCTGTTCCTCCAGAGAACCTGGGTTCGATTCCCAACACCCACATGGTGGCTCTGTTGTCCTCTTCCAAACTTCTTGGGCACTACACACATACCAGGCAATCAGAAAAAAAATGTTATTTTTTTAAAAAATTAAAAAATAAAATGCTTATACAAATTAAATAGAAATAAATAGGGGGGTGGTTCATGGGTTAAGAGCACTTGCTGTTCCTCCAGAGAACCTGGGTTCGATTCCCAACACCCACATGGTGGCTCTGTTGTCCTCTTCCAAACTTCTTGGGCACTACACACATACCAGGCAATCAGAAAAAAAATGTTATTTTTTTAAAAAATTAAAAAATATATATAAAACAGAACTATCAAAGCCTGACATGGTAATTCATACATATAACCCTGGTCAACCTGGGCCCCAGGGCCACATAGTGAGACCCTATCTCTAGAAAACAAAGGAAAATAAAGAAAACAAAACGGGCTGGAGAGATGGCTCAGCGGTTAAGCACACTGGCTGTTCTTGCAGAAGACCCAGGTTCGAATCCCAGCAGCCACATGGCAGCTAACAACTGTCCGTAACTCCAGTCCCAGGGGATCCAACAGCCTCTTCTGACCTCCGTGGGCACTACACGACACAGGTGCACTTACCTATATGCAAGGGAATACACGCATATGCATAAAATAAAAATAAAAAATAAAATTAAAAAAAAAAGAAAACTAAAACTAAATAATTACAATATGATCGTGCCATTCCGCTCCTGGATATGTCCTCACAGGAAATCCAAGTCGAGATACCTTACGCATTCACTTTACTGCTACACTATTCCCAACAGTCAAGGTATGGACATAGCCGGGCATGGTGGTGCATGCCTTTAATCCCAGCACCCGGGAGGCAGAGGCAGGTGGATCTCTGTGAGTTCAAGGCCAGCCTGGTCTACATAGTGAGTTCTAGGACAGCTGGGGCTACAGGGAGACCCTGTCTCAAAAAGACCAAAAAAAAAAAAAAAAAGATATGGAAGCAGCCTAGATGGCCATTAGCAGGTAAATAAATAAAGAAAATGTGATACATACATATATATATATATATAGATAGATATATATAAACTATATTCAGCCATAAAGAATGAAATTTTATCATCTGCAGGAAGTGGATGGAACTGAAGATCATCATGTCTTAACATGAAATAAGTGAAATAAGGCACTGAGAGTGACAAATAGCAGGGGATACAGCAGCTCACACCTGTAATTCCAGCATTAGGGAGGCTGAGGCAGGACTGCCACCAGTTTGAGGCCAGCCTAGGCTACAGAGTGAAGCAGTCTTAAAAATGCTAGTATAGTAGAGAAGGAAGGAGAATCAGGTATTTAAGGACAGCCTCAGTTACACAGCAAGATCAAGACCAGCCTGGGCTAAATGAAACTATCTCAACAAAACAAAAAAAAAATAGGTCTAGGGCTAGAGCTCAATGGTACAGCATTTGCCTAACATGTGTGAGGCCTTGAGTTCAAACCCAATACCACAAAATAAATAATAAATAAATAAATAAAAGATTTTGAGCTAGTAAGATAGTTCAGTTGGTAAAATGCATGTCACATCATAAGTATAAGGACCTGAGTTTGGATTCTCAGTACCCACATAAAGACACCACCTGAAACCCAAATGTTGGGGAAGGGCCATTTGGGGGGGGGGGGGGCAAAGACAGGTGTATCCTCAGATCTCATTGGCCAGCCAGCTTAGCTGAAACTATAAGCTTTAAGTTTGGTGAGAAACTGTTTCAAAAAATAAGGTAGAGGGCTGGAGAAATGGTTCAGTGGTTAAGAGTACTGGCTGCTCTTGCAGAGGACCCGGGATCAATTCCCAGCACCTACATGGCAGCTAACAACCATCTGTAACTCCAAGTCCAAGAGATCCAACGCCTTCTTCTATCCTTCATGGGCACTGCACGACATGGGTGCACTTACAAAAGTGCAGGCATAACACTCACAAAATAAATCAAAACTTAATAATATTAATAATTTTTTTAAAGTGGAATTTTGTAAACTTTTGAACACTATTGAAAACATGAGTTTAGTGAGAAAAACAGGTTGTCCATGCCTCATATGCCCCAAAATTGCCCATAAACTGCTTCACAGACAGTGGAAAAGTGAAAGCAGTTGGTTGAGACACAGGACTTTCACATTCTATTTATTTATATGAATCTACAGCTTGACTATCAAAAGTGTTGACAGGCCTTCAAGAAAATGATTTTCAGAAAAGAAACCATATTTTAGTTGTATAATGGCTACATCCACAGGAAAAAAGCCTTCCAAAGTATCAGTCCCTTGGGAGATGAGACTATGGATTTGCCTTCTTTTTCCAAATTTTTGAACCTATAAAACAAGTAATAAGGGTAAAATGTACTAAGTAACTATTCCTAATGAAGAGAAAGTTACCCTTTACCAGTTCACTCAAATCCCACTTGTAAGATTTGCTGAGATAACTAATGAGTCTAGATCTTTTACTCTGCATTTATACATGCTCGCACGTGCGCACACACACACACACACACACACACACACACACACAAAATGAATCATCTTTTAAACCCACAACAGGATCATATGATAGACAATGCTCTCTGATGTTTTTTCTTTCTTTTCTATTTGGTGATCATTCCCTGTTGGTAAAAGCTGCATGCATCATAGTTAGGATGTAGCTTCATTTATCCATTCCCCTTTCGATTGACATTTCACTGCAAATAACAAGCACACAGAATAACCAAATGCTTAAATAGTTTATATCTGAAAAAGTTTAAAATTCCCTTTTTAAACATTGAAAAAAAACTTCACCTCAAAAACAAAACAAAAACCAAAAGACAACAACAAACCTCACTTACTTTGGATTGGAAATAAATGCTTCAAGATAGTTCTGTTTGAGATCACCCATTTTACTGCTGCCACCACCATGGTGCATCAAGATCTTCATCAAGTGATATGGAAAAAGATGTTTGGAAGAGAAACTGCCTCTAAAATCTGCTTCTACACACATGGACTTTCATTCCTGCTTAAGAGATAAAAGAAAATGAGTGCTACCAAAGTAAACTCAAACACTACAAGAATAAGACAGGAACCATTACCCAGCACTACAGTCACTTGAAGCAAAGCTTTGAAACTGCAGAGTCCCACAATTTAACAACAGGAAAAATGGCAATAACATCAAAATATGAGAAACCCCAGAAAATATGTTCACAATTATTTTTCTTCAATACAAACTTCCCAGCACTCAATGCAGCTGGTTCCACTGAGTTCTCAGTAAACATGCAATTACTTGGAAAGTCATCACACATAATGCAGAGCATACTCCCCATCAAACATCAGTGTCTAAGTGTGTCTATGTACTAACTCTCACAAAGCTTATCACATAGAAATACTCTTTCTAATGAAGTGAAATATTAAACAAGGCCTACTTTGGCCAATGGAAAACTTAGAGGAACACATTAATGTCATCATCTTACAGGTCTTTTTCTTTTTCATTTTACTGCCATATAATATTTAAAGATATATGAAGCATGTTTATTTTTGAATCATGAAGAAAATTTAAAGAACTTGCTTCCAAAGACTTAAGAGCTGCTCAGTGACAAACTGGAAAATTTAAGGCAAGTCATTAACTAAATGACTTTCCATTTCTTCAGTGGTAAGCTGAGGAAAACCATAATCTTCATGAGATGTTGTAAATCAATGGCATATAATTACTGTATTTGTCTCAATGACTATCTGTCCTTTCTCTGCCCATAGCAATGAAAGGGACTTAAGACACAGGCTCTCTAGCTTACCAGACTAAACTATGCAGGCTGATTCGTGAGAACGTTGGGACTTGCTAATGCAGTGTGCTATTTAGTGCTTGCAACCCACTTTCCTATTCATAACATGCGCTTTCAGACAAAAGCTCAGAAGTCAAATCATTTATTTTACTCTTCCTCTACTTAACTGATGAGTGGGTCACAAATCAGTGTATTTTGACAAGTCCAAGATCAAAACATCTGGAGGGGGGGGGGGACATCAAGTTCGCTCCACCCGATGCTTCCGTACTCAACTAAGGATCAAACTATTCACCCGAGACTTCCGGAGGGCGAACCCCTGAACGGGCCCAAAACAGACGCTGCAGAGGGACGTGGAGGATCTGAAGTTTAAGCAACAGAAGCACAGGGACTATCTACCACCCACGGAAGGATGGAAAGGCATCGACCCAGGGAGTCTCGGGAGCCGCAAGGTCAACGGGCTCCAGCAGGACGTCCGCAGGACAAGTGCACCCCACGCCGGTTCCTCTGCTGGACAGACGGAGCCTGTGGATGTGCCTCGCCCTGAGGGAAACGACAGGCGGAAGACCTCGAGACTGCGGAGACGCCTTCCCCTGCCCGGCTTCTAAGGACTCCTCCACAGGAGAGGGTAGCGGACACCTACACATCTACTCACCGCATGCCCGCCATCTTGCCTCAATCCGGTCCTAAAGACGCCGTCCCACATGCCCTCCCGGCCCGCGGGGCACTCTGGAACTTGTAGTCTGCGCGGAAAAGTAGTCCGCGTTGCAGAAGGAAGGAGGGGCTCGCGAGCAACTGTAGTCTCGAGGTTTGTCACAGCATCTTGGCCTCTAAATTGTCACAGATGCTCAGAAAATAAAATCGCTACCCTCCCATTTTTAGCAACAAGTACTATTTAAAATAACAACGTCAAAAACTATTTTAGAATAATAGAGAAAGACCAGATTACTCCGTGATAAATGAATTACATTTTCTCAGGGAATGAAACATTCCAGGAGAAGTCTGAATTGTGAAGTCTAGGATTTGACTATTTGAAATGAGAATCCAGAGAAGCCCTCCAAACCGTCTAGTGGGCCAGTTGGATGTAGGAGTTGAGAGGGAGACCATTTTTTACTAGCTTGACGGCTAATCACATTACAAGAGTGAAAGGACTGATAGAGCAGGTTTGGAGAGTTGTTTGATTAGGGTGGAAGTGAATTCCGTTTGGGATTCTTCGGAGACATTCAAGTGGAAATGTAAAATGAGGCAGGCTGGTAGTGAGATGCGTTTAGAGAGTAGGGGTTGGGCTAGATAGGAATATAAAGTCATGGGAATGAGAGCTAGGCATGTAGCTTAGTGGTAGAACATGATCTCCAGCACCACAAAAAAATAAATAATAAAGTTATGTCGAGCCTCCGTAGGGAGAAAGTGTAAATATACAGAAGAAAGGCTCCAAACCCCAGACCAAGGGAATTCCAGCACGTAGAAATCAAGTAGAATAGGTCAACTAGCATAGGAATAACAAAGAGACATTCTAAGAACACAAACTCAATATACTAGCAAATAACTTAAGTTAGCATACATAAAAGCAGTTGCAGATTCATGGTAATAAAAGTGAAAAACAAAATTGTATAACCAGAATGAGTACTTGGCTTGGAAATGATGGAACAGTCCTTAGGCAGGAGTTTGAATTTTCGATGACTTTGGGAAACAGGGTCACAAGCCTAGATATTCGAAAGCAAATTTTCACTAAAAAGTGGCAGGTGAGTGATACAAGCCTGTGATCCTGGCATCTTGGAAGGTTTGAGACAGGAGAATTGCTGAAAGCTCAAGGCCAGTCTGGGCTACATGAGACTCTATTGCAAAACACCAAATTAATTAGTTAATGAAAGAGAGAAGTAAACTTCCATCTTATTGAGACCACGATAATTTTTTTAATGTTTTATTTTTTATGTGTATGAGTGTATTGTCTGCATGTTTGTAAGTGCACCAGTGTCCATGTGGTGCCCACAGAGGTGAGAGGAAGGCGTCAGATCCCCTGGAACTGGATTTACAGACAGTTGTTAGCTGCCATGTGGGTGCTGGGACTCGAAACCAGATCCTCAGTATGAGCAGACAGTGCCCTTAACCACTAAACCATCTCTCCAGCCCCAAGGCCACTATAACTTTGATTGTGTTTTGTTAACAATGAAATCTAATCCTAGCTGAAATGAGAGAATTAAAATGATTCAAATTATAATTCAAGAAAAGAACATTTAAAAAATTCAAAATTTTGGGTTGTGATGTGAGATTTTTCATGTTTCCAAGTCTAATACAAAAATTACTACTTTTACTTCAAATCAAATTATTTTTACGCTTATGTCTACTCTTGTCTACTCTTCTACTCTTTTTTTTTTTTCCCCCCCACAGGCTGGAACTTACCATGTACACCAGTCTTGATTCATCTCATAGAGATCTGCCTGCCTTTGCCTCCAGAGTGCTGGGGTTAAAAATATGTGCCACCATGCCTGACCTTATGTCTATTCTTAAAATCTTGGGCTTACTACATACAGAACTGTCTCATTTTTCATCTGAAAAGCCCCTAGGAGCCAAACATAATGTTAGAGACATAGTAAAGAAGAGAGGTTTATGAGTGGATTCTGAGACTCCATCTGCCTAAATTTGAATCTTGACTTTTCCATTTCTTCACTAGGTTATTTGGGGTAATTTAATTGTGTAATATTTTGAGTCTCACTTTATTCTGTGTAAAAGGCAGATAATAATGATGTTCCTTATTTCATAGATTGGATTGACCAAATAAAATATAATGTTCAGCAAAGCATTTGGCATATAGTAAGTACTCAACCAGTGCTAGCTGAAATTATATCTTATAGGTATTTAATAAAAACTTGTATAATAATTTTATGAACAACTACCCCCAAGGAGATAGTTATTTCTTATGTAGTAAAATAAAATCTCTTTTGAATAACATAATGAATGTAATTAAAAATGAAAAATAGGGCTGGGGAGATGGCTTAGTGGTTAAGAACACTGGTTGTTCTTGCAGAAGACCTGAGTTCGAATTCCAGCACCCACATGACCACTAACAACTGCCCGTAACTCCAGTTCCAGGGGATCCAACAGCTTCTTCTGTCCTTCGTGGGCATTGCACGACATGAGTGCATTTACCTATATGCAGGCAATATACTCATACACATAAAATAAAAATAGTAAATAAAAAATATTTTTTAAAAAAATGAAAAATAAGTTTAATCCAACATAAACAGTAATGTCTAGCTTAAAGCTGACAAATTTGTTAGGCCCCAGCAGAAAACGGATGACATGCCCAAATTAGGATACATTCCAGAAAAGATTCACAAAGGTGTTGCGTGGTTTATTAAGAGAAGTGCAAGTTGTATCTGTATGCTCAAGGCTTAACTATACAAAGTACTCATCCTTTATACCCCTCCAGGCCTGAAGGGAAGAGAGAGACATAATTACCAGACCCATTGAGAAGAGCACTAGCCTTTATCTGAAGCCATTGCCAGCATGAGATGAACATTGTAGAAGCCACCCATGATAATAATTACTCCGATTTCTTCATCCTTCCACTCTTCTACAAATTAAGACATGGTTCACAAGACTGTCCCCTGTTTCAGATAACAATTAGAGACTGAGCTATAGAGATTCTTAAATACAGCCATTATATGTGTATATGGTAGGGTCTCAAACTCAACTAGACAATCGTGTTACTAGGTGGGTTTGATTTACTTCATTATTGTGTTAGTTATTTTTGCATAGGTGTGATCAAAATATCTGATGGAAACAACTTAAAAAGGACAATAATTTTTGGCTCATGGTTTTACAGGATTCAGTCCATGGTTGTTTGGCCCCATGTACCTGGCACAGCATCATGGTGGTGAACTCCTGTAGAAGAAGAAGCTGTTCATAATGGACAGGTAATGGAAACAGTAGCTCACATTATGGTGGAAAGGAAGCAAAGTAGGGCTATAACAGGAAAGAGCCAGAAATAACTCCCAAGGAGGAGTCATCAGCAACCTACTTCCTTCAACCAAGCTCCAACTTCCACACTTCATGTCCCAATAATCTATTCACTCTTTGAATCCATCAGTGAGTTAAACCATTCATTAAGTCAGAGCCCCATGAAATGTTCTCACAGACATACCCAAAGATGTCCTTTAATTTCCTAGGTTGTTCTTCATTTAGTCAAGTTGACAATCAAGACTAGCTACTACGGTCACGTATACAATTGTGTATGGGTAAGGAGACTCTGTGTATTTAAGCAACTGGAATTTGTAAGGAAATTTGGATTGTCAGGACTGTTTTGTGGCCCTTGTATTACCTTTGTGATTTTAATATTTAAATATTTTATTACAGAAAGTTTTAAACATATACAAAATGAAAAAGAATAGTATTGGAAGGCATACTTATAATCCCGGAATTCAGGAAGTAGAGATAAGAGGATAGAGAGGCAGACGGATCTCTGAGTTCAAGTCCAGCCTGGTCTACATAGTGAGTTCCAGGCCAGCTGGGGCTACAGGGAGACCCTGTCTCAAAAACACCAAAAAAAAAAAAAAAAAAAAAAAAAAAGGTTAAGTTCACCCTGGACAACTGGTGAGACCCTGCCTTGAAAATTTAAAAGTTAAAAATAAAGCTGGAAGCTGGTGTGCACGCCTTTGATCCCAGCACTCAGGAAGCAGAGGCAGGCTGATCTCTGTGAGTTAAAGGCCTCCAGGCCAGCTGAAGCTACAGGGAGACCCTGTCTCAAAACAAAACAAAACACGAGCTGGAGAGATGGCTCAGCGGTTAAGAACACTGGTTGTTCTTGTAGAAGACCACGGTTCAAATCCCAGCACCCACATGGCAGCTAACAACTGTCTGTAACTCCAGTCCCAGGGGATCTGACAGCCTCTTCTGACCTCCCTGAGCACTGCACAACACGGGTGCACTTACCTACATGCAGGCAACACATGCATATACATAAAATAAAAATAATAAGCCGGGCATGGTGGCACATGCCTTTAATCCCAGCACTCGGGAGGCAGAGGCAGGTGGATCTCTGTGAGTTCAAGGCCAGCCTGGTCTACATAATGAGTTCTGGGACAGCTGGGGCTACAGGGAGACCCTGTCTCAAAAAGACCAAAAAAAAAAAAAAAAAAAAAAAATATGGGGCAGATGAGCAGTCCTCAGCCTCAGCTATACTCATGGAAATTTTCCTTTAAAGGGATTTTTAAAAATGCAGATATCCACCAGGTGTGGTGGCACACACCTTTAGCTCTAGTATTCAAGAGGCAGGCAGATCTCTATGAGATCAAGGCTAGCCTGGTCTACATAATGTGTTCCAGGCCAGCTGGGGCTACAGGGACACCCTGTCTCAAAAAAAAAACAAAAACAAAAACAAAAATAAATAAATAAATAAATAAATAAATAAATAAATAAATAAAATTTGTTAAAAAAAAAAATAGAAGCCGGAGAGATGGCTGACTGGTTAGGAGCACTGGTTGCTCTTACAGGTTCCCAGCACCCACATGGTGGCTAACAGATGTAACACCAGTTCCAGGGGATTCAATGCCCTCTTCTAGGCTCCATGGGTATTGCATAACGCAAGTGTGCTTACATGCAAAACAGTCATACAGATAATAAAAATAAAATTTTAAAAATGTTAAAAGATCCCCAGTCACGCAAGGAACTGTTTGCAAAGATCAAATGTCTGGCCTCCTGCCTGACTCCAGTTCTGGAGTTCAGCAAACCTGTTGTTTTTTTATCCAGTGTATCTTCTCTTTGACTTAG